AAACCCTGAGCTATCCTGTGCCAATCTCACTGCCTCTGACACAACCATCCCGATTACCCCAGTCACTGAATCAATCCACCTCATAGAGGGCCTTCCCCTCCTGTGCTGTCCCTCCACCCTCCCAAGCATGATGTCCCTCTCCAAGGATCGGTCTCTCCTTACATGTCCAAAGTATGTTAGATGGAGCCTCAGAATCCTTGCCTCCAAGAAGCAGCCTGGTTTAACCCTCTCCAGGATGAATCTGTTTGTTTTCTTGGCAGTCCATGGTACATTAAATACTCTTCTCCAGCACCACAGCTCAAAGGCATCAATTCTCCTTCTATCCTCCCTAGTTATCGTCCAACTCTCTGAAGCATAACAAGTGATTGCAAAGACCATAATCCATATTAGACGCACCTTAGTCTCCAGAGAGACACCATTGCTCTTCAGTACCCTGGAGAGATCCCTAACAGCAGACTTTCCCATCGCAATACGTTTCTTGATTTCCTGGCTATTGGTGCCAAGAGTGCTGACCATGGAGCCAAGCAGACTAAAGCTGTGAACAATCTCAATCTCTTCACCATCCATGCTGATGCTACCAATTGGTCCAGTGGTGAGAATCTTTGTCTTCTTGACATTGAGCCTCAATCCATACTGAAGGCTGTAGTCCTTGACCCTCTGCAGCAAGCATTTCAGTCAGGTCCTCCTCAGCTTCAGCAAGCAGGGTTGTGTCATCTGCATAACGCAGATTAACAGATCTTCCACCAATCTTGACACCACACTTCTCCTCATAGAGCCCAGCCTCTCGGATAATCTGTTCTGCATATAGGTTGAAAAGGTGAGGAGATAGGACACATCACTGGCATACACCTTTCCCAATTTTGAACCATGCAGTGTTAACCTGCTCTGTTCTGACGACTGCCTCTTGGTCCAAGTATAGGTTTCGCATTAGAACGATCAAATGTTCTGGGATTCCCATTCTTCTGAGAGTCAGCCACAGTTTGTTATGATCCACACAGTCAAACGCCTTTACATAATCAATGAAACACAGATATACCTTCTTCTGGTATTCTCTGCTCTCAGTTAAGATCCATCTCACATCAGCTACAATATCCCTAGTACCACAACCCCTTCTAACCCAGCTGAAGCTAAGAAAAATTGAACCAAATCCACAGGAACCAAACTATGACTTTGAGTTCATCCCACCTGAATTTCAGAACCATCTCAGGAACAGGTTTGAGGCCTTGAACACTAATGAGCGAAGACCTAATGAGTTGTAGGAGGATGTCCAATGTATCATCCAGGAAGAATGCAAACGCTCATTACAAAGACAGAAGAGGAAGAAAAGACCAAAATGGATATCAGAAGAAATTCTGAAAATTGCACTGGAGCGCAGAGAAGCCAAAGCACAAGGAAGAATTCAAGATACTAAAGAGCTGAACAGAGGATTCCAAAAGGCAGCACAGGATGACTAAGCAAAATATTACAATGAAATGTGCGAGGAGCTGGAGTCAGAAAATCAAAAGGGCCGAACTCGCTCAGCATTTCTTAAGCTTAAGGAACTGAAGAACAAATTCAAACCTCAAGTTGCTATAATCAAGGATACTTTAGGTAGACTATTAAATGATCCAGGAAGTATTAAAAGAAGATGGAAAGAATATACTGAGTCACTGTATCAAAAGGAATTAATTGGCAGAAACAGAAGAATTTCATGAAATAACATATGAGCAAGAGCCTATGGTGATGAAGGAAGAAGTTCAAGCTACTTTGAAGGCCCCAGGATTAGACGGTATACCAACTGATGTATTTCAGCTAACAGATACTGCCCTGGATGTGCTCATCAAGTTGTGCCAAGAAATCTGGAGAACAACCACTTGTCCAACTGACTGGAAGAGATATATATTTGTTCACATTCCAAAGAAGGGTGACCCAACAGAGTGTGGAAACTATATAACAATATCATTGATTTCACATGCAAGCAAGATTCTACTGAACGTTATCCAAAAACGACTGGAACAGGTTATGGTATAGATGGTAAAAACTATCATTAGGTAATCTTTTAACTCATTATGAAAGATACAAACATTAAAAGTCCCAAGTGAAACTTTCAATCCTTTCCAAAAGGCAATCAAGGTTTCTTATCACTCCTTAATCTAAGTCCTTTGAGTTGACATATTAGCAAGTAAAACACCCAGGAAATTAGTTTCTCAAAAAAATCCACTCTGACCCACCCTGATAGTTCCATGTCCAAGGTCCTCATGGGCCGGCCCATCCAGGAATGCAGAACCTGGAACATGGAAGCCAAGAAATGACTGCCCTAAAAGCCTTGGAATGAAGAGGCCACACTTGTTCTGTCCATGCTCACTCCACTTTCCATTGTCCCCAGTGGGTTACTCCACATTACTGTCTCCCGTTTTCAGACCTGTGTGCAGCAAGCCCATCATAGCCCTCCAACCGCATGTGCTCGCTTTGTGCCGCATCTTGGTAATCCTCTCAATGTTTCAACATTCTTCATAATACTATTACACACTTATTACAGTACAAGGCACTCTAGTGGCACAGTCTGACCAAGAGGTCATTTATCATCAGAGACTCTGGGCAGAGAAGACAGGAGTCTTCTCCAATTAAGGACCCAATAGAGGGCTGCTGGGGTCGGCACCCCCTAGATGGCAGAGTGTGGTACTTTTTGGAGACCCAGAACAGTGTGAGCATTGCTTATGGAGACCAAGAAGTGAGGGCCACCATGCTGGCCGCTCTGGGAGGCACCTCAGAGCATGGCCTGGCAGGCTGGCAGGTCCCACACACCATCTAACCTAGCTAAAGCATTGAAGCCTTGTTCTCAAAACAGTAAGGACCCCATCCACAAGCCCACAGGCAGGCTATCTGCATAGTCTTGCTTGCTCAGCAGCTGAGGTGCCCATGTGGCTTGGGTGGACACTCCTCCCTGTGCTGGAGCATGAAATCCACCACGTGTGGTGTTACAGCAGATGACGAGGAATGTCCAGGGCTCTCATATCTATGTGCTTGCTTGCGGGTTCTGGGGAGCAGGCTTCTCACCCCATTTGTGTTGGATTTTGGCTCATTCACTAACAGGCAGTGGCCTTAGTCCAAGGCAGCTGGTCCAAGTCTGTAAACAGCCCCATCACGAGTCTGGCGGGGGGAAATGGCCACTCCCTTGAATACCCTCATGAGAAGCAGCTGTGGAAGCATCAAGGGGAAGGACAGCCAGGGGGCCTTCCAACACTCTGAGCCTGCTGCAGCCAGCCCTGTCCTCCTTTGCCAAAGCGCAGAGAACAAGCTGCCTAGGGTGGGCAAGGGCGAGGGCCACAGAAATGCAGGTCCTATGTGCTTTCAGACCTCCCAGCCAGGTCTAGGAGAAGAGCTGACCAACTCTCCAGGCTTCCTGGAAAACCCGCAGTCCCACACCCCAGCATAGCTCTACTGGGGGTTCTGTGGAAAACCTGTGGCCCTACTCCCTGGCATGGCTCTACTGGGGGTTCTGTAGAAAACCCACATCTCTACACCCCAGCATGACTCTCCCAGGGGTTCTGTGGAAAACCTACGGCCCCACACCCCCTCATAGCTCTTCGGGGCCTCTGTGGGAGGATTGGTTTCTCAAGGCCCTCCAGCAAGACCATAAAGCACCCTCAGCCATGTCGTCTTCTTCCTCAGTCCCTCCCAGGTGGCTACTCTTTTCTATCTTGCCTCAGACTGGCTGTCCCCAAACCACAAGGCTGCAACTCTTTCCGAGAAAGCCAGGAATACAGCTGTAAGTCTCATTTCCCTTGGGAGACTTCCAACCCTCCCTCCTGGCTCCAGATGTAAAAGAACAGCTGTGGGGGCGGCAGGCAACCCAGCTGGCAGCTAAGCAGGCCCTGGAAAGATGGAGAATGAGGCTGGAGAAGACGGCAGACAAAAGGGCAATTAGGAGTGTTGAGACCTGGAAGACCTCAGATGGGCCTTGCTCAGCCTCTCAGACATTGTCCTGAGCTCTGCCCACTCCAAATCTGTGGGTTGCTGGCAGGCCCTTCCACAAACTTTTTGATTCCCACTTAATCTAGGAATAAAAACTTGGCTTCTTTTGTTGCATCCCACACCCGGTCCTCAAAACACACACCTCCCAGAATTAGATTTCTGTAACTAAAGACTGAAATGGGGGAGGGCGGGAGAAGGAACAGGGCTGGGCCATTCCCATCTAGCATCCGACTGCCCGCTCCTGGCCCTGGCTCCAGTGCTCGGAAAGCTGTCACAGTACAGAACCAGGCTGGGGATCAGGAAGGCCAGGCTGCTGCATGCACCCGTGAAGTGAGCCAAGGTGGTAAACACTTTTGGCACCCATCACAATTCCAAGATAGGCTTTCCCCATAAATGACTATTCCCAGGACTCTGGTCTGGGTCCCCCTGCCAGGAAAGGGACCCCTGCTCTGTCCTATCATGACGTCACCACTCGGCAAAGACATGGCCTTACAACTGCTTCACTTTTAGGAAAAATAGTTTATTGGCAGGTTTGAAAGCTCTTCCCTAGACAGGGTTCCCTTCGCAGAAACACCACTACACTCTTCCCACGCCTGCTGGGAGGTCAAAAGTCCTCGAGAGCAGCCCACTCCTCCACCCCCACCCTGCTCTGGGGAGACCAGCTCTGGGCCAGGGTCCTCGTGGGCCCATCACATAATGTTTGTAAAAAGTGAGCACAATACTGTACCATGCCCCTTACCTGGATGCCATGGAACCAGCCCACAGCCCCTTCTACCCCTTATTAAATAGCCCATTAAATAATCTCTTGGTGGTGGCAGAGGCACCGCGGTAGCACTCCCGCCATCCAAGACCGCTTGGCATAGCCCCAGCGCCTCCACTCTGACCACATCTGGACTCCGCAGGAGCAGCTGGGACATGGATGCCTCACAGCCTGACAAGTCCAGGACTGTGTCCCCGGTGAGGAGTCCACGCTGACACAGGATGTCTGCAGCCTGGACAGGGTCTTTTGCAGCAGACTGGGCATACCTAGGCAGTTCCTGCCCAAGTCAGAAGTAAGTGAGGTTCTTGACAACTCCAATTTCAAGCATCCGCTTGATGGCTAGCGCCTCCTGGGAGACATTGTGGCCTGACCCCTGCAGGAGAGCCAGGGGAACAAAGTCAGCAACCCCAAGAAAGCCTGCCTCCCTCTCCCCCAGGCTGCTCCCCAGAAGGAAGATTCCCAGGGTAGCCGCTCATAGAAGAGTTGGCCCAGGAGTTTGGTTTCAGTTCCAATTCTGAGTGACCACAAACCCCCAAGCCCCGGCACACCCTCACTCACCCTCTGCCAAGACTCCCGGTCCCAGTCTCTCACCCCCACCCAGCAGCAGTGGGGCCACTTACTGCCATGGACTTGAGTGTGATCTGCTCATAGTAGTGAATGGTCTGCTTCTTGTTGTAGACATCGGGGTAGCCGAAGCCAGCAATGTGCACCAGGTCACAGAAGTGGAGGGCCAAGGTGATGGCCAGCAGACCTGTGGTGGGCTTCTGGGGAACGAGGATGGACAGGTTTAGAGCAGGCCCTGCTCCTTCTTCTCCACTTTCTAGACCAATACAACCCAAATTAAATGTATGAACACAGACATGCTCTGCACTGACCACCGCTGGGGCCCGCAGTGAATGGCATGAATGGCACAGCAGGTGATTGAGGCTACTGAACTGAAGAATGGAGCTTTGAATTCAGTTCTACTTCAGTTCATTTTCCTTGAATAGCTATTGGTGAAGGTTATCATATTGGATGGTGCATTTCAACACACCTAGGGGAGGGTCTGGGCTCTAAGGGTAACAACGAGGCAGTAAGTATAACAGTGGCAACGACAAGAATAAGATCTTTTATTCTTTGAGCATTTATGATGTGTTAGACACATTACTTAACATAGTTGTCTTGAACTCAGTATATTTTTCATCCTGTCCTCACTAAATGCTCCAGCTAAGATGCTATTATTAGACCTTTTTTACAGAAAGGAAAATAGGCTGGCACATACTAAGTAATTTGCCTGGGGATTGGAAGGGTTCAGTCCCACTCACATTTGGAGAACTTTGGCCATTCAGAAGACCTAAATGCTTTGCCATGACAGTGGGCTTCCCCTCTGAATGTGCGGGCAGCAGTTAACTTTCCTATTCAACTTCAGGGCTGCCATGAGGACCCAGCTTGCGGCATCCCTCCCTGCTCCACTCACGGGGATGAACAACTGCTAGTCTCCCAAGTCTCGCAGTGGCCTCCACTTCAGCTGCCCACTCCCATTCAGGAGCTGTGACCGAGATCTTGTCAAGTCATCATTTCAAGCTTCCCCACAGGCCCTGTCCAAGAATTCTCCTCATTTCTCTTTCACCCTTTCCTGGGCCTGCTTTTTCACCACTGTTATTCTAATCACCAAAGCGGGATCCCATCCCAGTTCAGACCCTGTTAAGTGACATTTCCATCACGTCCTAGCTAGCTCTGTCTGAACGTGGCACTTAAACCCCAAAACTCCTCCTCTAGTATTCGTTGTTACTGTCTTGCTCAAGATGGAAACCTAGGCTTGGTCATAAGTTCTTCCATTTCACTTGGAAACAGGTGTAGTGAGCAGAATTCTAAAATGATCCCCAGTGACACCTATCTAAATATAACTCCCTCCCCGAGAGTGCCAGCAGGAGCCATGAATATACTTATTTATCACTTCCATCAGAGCTCAGTAGACCTTCCGTTAAGATTAGCCCTGTGGGCCTAGTTTTATCACATAAGACTCCACATCTTGATCTAGAGAGCAGAGGCCACGAAGTCAGACACCTGTGCAGTCAGAACCCTCCCCTGGGTTCTCAGGCTGTCAAGCACATGGGAGAATGATGGTGGGTTCAAACTGCCAGACAGGAACAGCCAATGCAACTTATGAGAGATGACTCCAGCAGAGCTATCAAACAGAAGGACTTGCAAATGGAGGGGGAAACACATGGCATGGGAGGTAGGAGGCCTCCTGGATGACAACCAGAGAGACCTCAGTTCTACCACTTCTAAAAATGGAATTCGCCCAACAAGACTGAACTTGGAAGCGACTCTTCTTCTAGAGGTTGCAGACAGAACTCAGCCTCATCGGCAGGGAGCTACAGACTATGAGCAAACAAAATGGGTATTATTTCTAGTTGCTAACTTTGTGGCTGACTCTGAGAAGAATGGGAATTCCAGAACACTTGATCAAGCTAATGCAAAACCTATACTTGGACCAGGAGGCAGCCATCAGAAAAGAGCAAGGAAACACTGCATGGTTCAAAAATTGGGAAGGGCGTATACCAGGGATGTGTCCTGTCTCCCTACCTTTTCAACCTGTATGCAGAACAGATTATACAGGAGGCTGGGCTCTATGAGGAGAAATGTGGCATCAGGATTGCAGGAAGATTCAACAACAATCTGCATTATGCAGATGACACAACCCAGCTTGCTGAAACTGAGGAGGACCTGAAGTACTTGCTGCAGAAGATTAAGGAATGCAGCCTTCAATATGGATTGAGTCTCAACATCAAGAAAGCAAAGATTCTCACCATTGGGCCAATTGGCAGCATCATGATGGATGGTGAAGAGATTGCTAACAGTTTTAGTTTGCTTGGCTCCACAGTCAACACTCTTGGTACCAGCAGCCAGGAAATTAAAAGACATATTGTGATGGGAAAGTCTGCTGTTAGACTGAAGAGCAATGATAGCACTCTGGAGACTAAGGTGTGCCTGATACCAGCCATGGTCTTCGCAATCACTTGCTATGCATCAGAGAGCTAGACAATGACTAGGTATGACAGAAGGAAAATTGATGCCTCTGAGCTGTGGTGTTAGAGAAGAGTATTGAATATACATACCATGGACTGCTATGAAAATGAACAGGTTCAACCTAGAGAGGGATAAACCAGTCTGCTCTTCAGAGGTAAGGATTTTAAAGTTTTGTCTGACATACTTTGGATATGTTGAAAGGAAGGACCAATCCTTGGGAGGAGGACATCATGCTTGGGAGGGTGGAGGGACAGCGCAGGAAAGGAAGACCCTCTACGAGGTGGATTGATTCCGTGACTGGGGTAATCAGTGTAGGTGTGTCGGAGACAGTGAAATTGGCACTAGATAGAGCAGGGTATAGGGCTGTTGTACACAGGGTTGCTATAACTCACAGGGGACTGGAAGGCCCATAATAATAATAACATACTTTGTGGCAATTTGTTATGCAGCAACATAAAACTAATATAGGTGTCAAGCCCATGCCTCTCCTTTTCCACTGCAGGAGTGGGACTAGGTCCCAACCCTCTCTTGCCCCCTTTTCAGCACTCCCACACACACTCCTCCATCACACTCCTGCTCGGTGCTCTTCAACCCCATTCACACCACAACTCAGTCCTTGACAATCGGAATACCTTTCCCCAGTTCTCTGCTGAGGAGCCCCATGATTCCTTATGCCTCAACTCTACCACTTCCTCTGAAAGCCTCATCAGATAGCCCTAAGCAGAGATCTATCTGTCTCCCAACCTCCCTCAGCAGGCAGAGCGGCCCTATATTATAGCATTTTATTACTCAGTCGTGCAGACTGCTTGCTACACTGCTAGATAGGGTTTTCTCAGGGCACCCTGTCTGACATGCATGTCAACCTGGAGCCTGGGACCAAATGGGCAAATCTGAGATTCACATTATGTGTTTAACTGAGTAACAGCAGACACTCATTAAATAACAGAAATTACTCTCCCCAAATTTTAGCAAGTATGTATTGAGAACCCCTAGTGCCCCGCCTCCATGACAGACATTCCAGATAATTCAGCACTTTCTCCAAGCCTGCAATATCTCTATTAAGGCAGTACTAAAATGATTCCCACCACTAACATCACCCCCACTACTGTGACTTGCCACCAAGCTGCACTGTGCTCCACTGGGTTTTCAAGGCCTTCCAGAAGCACATCATCAAAGTGCTTCAGGATGGATTTGAACTGCCAACCTTTCAGCTAGTAGCCACGTGCTTGACTGCCTGCACAACCCAAGGAACTCCTCCCACCATAAGAATAAGAAAACCAAGGATATAAGCAACTGATTTGCCAAAGGTCCAGAGCTGTGTCTGACTGGAGCTGTGCTACACAGCCTCTCTGAGGGGTTCCAAAGATGAAGATGAAGTTGCATGGGGAGATGGCAAGACTGTGAAAGCTCATGCTGACAATGACTAGGGGCTGAAGCTGGAATCACAACTTGCAGAATTGAGTGATGGTACATAGGACTTACAGGCCAAGCCACCACAGCATGCAAGACACCTGACTTAAGCTCAAACACTTATTCTGACCAAAACATTAATCACAGCTAAAAAACCCCATAGATAAACTGGTCCCACAATAACAGGGTCCTGTCTCACTGTTCTAAAGAAAAGACCTCTGACCACTAACTGTTTAGCAACTCCTCAGGTTACAAATTCTGATTGATACTGGCCAAAATCATCCTCTTCCTCCAGCCCTCAAGCCTTGTGCATACCATCTGCTAGATCACCACTTTGGAGATGCCCCAAGGTTGGCAACAGAGTATCTTTTTCTCTTGTTACAGCAGGTTAATAATCCCAACTCTGATGACAGGTGTGCTCCTGAAGATCTGGGGCTTTAACAGGTGCTATTCAAATGCAAGGGTGCTCTGTACTGTGCTCCTAAAGCAAAGGTCACACACCTCTCTCTGGTGGTTAGACTTCACCAGGGACTTTGCAGGAGAAAGATGGGCAGACTTCTGTCAAGATCTGCAGCCTCCAAAACCAGAGAGTCATTATGAGTTGGAATCAATTTGATGGCAGTGAATGACTGTGATTCAAATGCAAAGGAGTTCTACTGGGTCAGTGGTTAAAATACCTGGCTACTAATCAAAGAGTTGTGCTTAGAATCAACAAGCTCTCTCAGTGGGAGAAAGTGGCAGTTCATTACATAAAGGTTTACATTGCTGGAAGCTAATGGGGAAGTTCTCCTCTGGAATTGGAATGGACTCAAAGGTGTACAAAGCCAAGCTGTTGTTTCTGTAATTATGCTCCCCTCTGTTGGAGCTTTCCTCTGTGTTCTAAGCTTCCAGCTCTCAGGTTCCCAACCCTCATCACCTGCTTAATCTTGCGAGAATGTTGCATCATCGGCAGGCTCAGAAGTCGGTCAGCTGCAATCTCCATGAAAAAGGGATTGAGAATCCGAATCTGTTTGGGGTTGACATCCCAGATGAGGGGGGGCTGTTTCCAGAAACCTTTTCGAACCTGCTAGGGAGAGATGGAAGTAAAGACATGTTTCTTAAGCCCAGCTCATTCTCTTCAGTCAGGAGGACCTCAGAAACACAGAGGTGAGAGTGAAGGAGGCGGGGAGAACAGAGAGCGAGGAGAGAGGGTCCCCCTCGAGGCAGCCACGTGACAAGGTTTGTAGAGTGTGACAGCCATTCTGTACCTCCAAAGTGACCTCAAGGGGGAGAAAGACTCCAAGTCTTTGGATACGGGGAAAATTCCAGACTGAGTGGTTTACCTCTGAGCAGAGAGACAGCAGAGGGCTCTCTGGGAAGACTCTCAAGGAATTACCCAGCAGGGCACAGACCTCAGCTGTTCTAGCTGGGCCCAGCCAGGGAAGACCTTGAAACATCTATCTGTCCCCACTGCCACAAGCAAATACATAATCTGATCCTCTCCTTATCCCAGCAGGTCTCAGGCCTGGAGGGACCATTCAGGTTGGGCCAGTAAGGGCTTGATTGTTGTGTGCTGTGCTGGGGCTGCCACTGCCCAACCCCACAGGCCTGGTGCCTGGCAGCTGGGCACCTCATGAGAAGCACTGCAGAGCAGGTCTCAGTGAGCAGAATGGGCAGTGCTGGGAGTCACTCCTTCCCCTCTTCAGCCCTTTCACACCAGGAATGCAGGGAAGACACACTGCATGCGTTCCTGACTGCTATGTCCCCGCCCCAGGCTACTTCACTCCATCAGCCCCACACTTACCCGCTTCTTGTCACTCAGGATGGTCTCAATCCAGTGGAAGTCCATTGCCTTGAATGCTACCAGGACCAGGAGCGTGTCTGGATTATTCTCCACTTTGGGGTCGAAGTGGGCAGATTCAGGGTAGAAGAGACGCATGGTGGTCTTGGAGCCCACGTCCCCCTCGTAGCCAGCCACTGGAGCATTGTTCAATCTTGGTGGTGGGAAGGGGGGGTCCATTACCTAGAGTACCCCTGAGCCTTGCCCACCACTGAGAAAGCCCCTAACAGCTCCCAGATAGAAGAGGGGAAGGGTAGCCACACAGACCTGATGACCACATCATACTTGTTGATGGCCTCTCCCAGCGAGCTGTTCCGAAGCCTGTGCCCATTCCCCACCACCACGCAGCGGCGGCACTGCAGGCTGCCATGATAAGGTGAACATGAGGCCCAGAAGTAATCCCTGTCCCTTGAACTACCACCCCCCTGGACCTGTCTGGAGCCTGCAATCGCTGGTCCCCATGACCAGCCCCACTGGTCCTGCTGGTGGTCTGCTGTCTATATGGCACTGGGCTCTAAAGGGAGGGAAAATGGGAAGGCAGAGGAAAGGAGACACAAGGGGAGAACTAATGAGAAATCCCAATCAGAGTCCCCTTCCTGCTGCAACAATGACAGCCTCAGAAGCCTGCCCCGGGCCCCAAATGCCCAGACCAGGCTGTCACGCAGACAGGTGCACTCAGATCCTCTGGAGACAGACAGGCTAGGAGGAAGGGTCAAAAGTGACCCCACCAGGCCAGAGGCAAGGAGGCTCACACCAGAGAAGAGGAGAGGGTGGTCCGATCCGAGGGAAGGTGTGTCTCCTTACCTCTGGATGCTTTCCGGCATGGAATAACTGGTGATAGCTAGAACCCGCAGAAGAAGGTCTTCTATAAGAGCAAGGGTGCATTCTGAGGGCAGCTCACCACTGTCTACTGCTCCTCAGAACCTCACCTGCCTCTGTCCTGCTCTGCTCCTACCCCTGGCTCAGCACTAAAGCCATGAGCAACAAAGCAGAAGGGACAGTGTCACCAAGGTGACCCATCACTGGCACTGAGAGGCCAGACACTTACCACTCCCCTTCGTCCCATAGGGCAGCTCATAGACAGAGTGTGTTTTGACCCAGAAAAAGTCCTTAAGTTGCAGGAAGATGGGCTGATCTCGGGAGTAGCTGCAGAGGGGAATCCAGTTGGAGAAGAGGAAGAAATGAGTTCTCATACCAGAATCAGGGCCCATGCCTATTCACATCGACGTACCACCCCACCACCCGACCCTCCAATGGCCAGAACAGGGCCTCCCCACACCTCGTGACCCACCCACATACTTGCCAAAGATCCTAGAGGCCTTCCTCTCTGCCTCGCCCTGCAGGCATGGCTCCCTCTTCTCTGGGATGGGAAAATAGAAACTGGAGACAGAGGAAATCAAGACACTCAGCTAGACTCCAGCAACCCAGGGACCAGCAGCTTCAAGCCTCTCCATTGGCACACAGATCCCAAGTCACTGAAGAAGGTCATCTCAACCTAAGTTCCACTCTGAAGCTGAGTAGCTGAGAATACTCTTCCTTCCTATACTCCTGCGGGGTTCTCCAGATGCTAACCTGCAGGCCCCCATCAACCTGCACATCCCTCCACAGGATCCCATGCCAGTAGTTGAAAGGGTCATGCCCTGTTTCTCTGCTCCTTCGGCCCCACCTGGGTCCCATCTGGGCCTCTACTGTATGAGATTAAAGGCAAGAAAGCTCCATCCCTTGAAAGAACCAAGAGATATGGAAGGTGAACTCACAGCTCAATGTACCTGTCTTCTCGGGAGATGGAGTACCACACCATGACAACCAGAACCAGAGCCAGCATGGCCAGGAGCTTCCAGCCTGCGGGGCACATGCACAGAGGAGCTGGATGCACAATCAGCCTGGACCAATGCTGGCCCACCATCCCCTTACCTTGAGCAGTCCAGCCTGGTGCTCTCTGGAGCTGCCCTTCTGGCATGGGGCTTAGAAGTTACATTTCTTCTGGCTCTCTACATGGACAGCCAGGCCTCTCTCTGACTGCCTCTCAATACCAAGGCCACTTCTGCAGGGCCTACCCTAGAGGGGGGAGCACTCAGATGACACTCACGGGACTTGCTGGTCATGGTTTTCAGTAGATGGCTCGGTTCCTGGGGAGAGCTGTCATCCTGGCTGCCTCCGGCCACCTAGGAGGTAGGAGTCACAGATGTCTGTCTGTCCATTCAGTACACAAACACTCCACCCTGAAACAGAACATGCCCACAGCCTGCCTACCTCCCTCCTCTGGAAGGCAGAAAGCTGCTCTGCAGGCCACAAACCCAGAGAGGGTGCTCACATCCTTGGGCCCTCCTGGGCCCTCCAAAGGTCACGTCCAGGGCCAAGGAGTCCCAGGTCAGAGGAAGGGAAAGCAAGCATCATTTTGTTAATGTCAGCTCCTCAGATAGGAAGCCCTCCATCTTTTTCTCCTTTAACCAACAAGGACCATCTTCAGGAGATAGGTGGGCACCTCTAGCCACTTAAACCCAATAAAACAACTAACTTATAGAAAGGCATTTAATTGACTATGCAAAGGCATTTGACTGTGTGGATCATAACAAACTATGGCTAATATTGAGAAGAACGGGAACCCCAGAATACTTAATCATGCTCATAAAAAACATGTATCTAGACCAAAAAGCTGTCATCTGAACAGAGAACTGCATGATGTAAAATCAAGAAAGGTGTGTGTCAGGGGTTTATTTTCTCACTATAGCTATTCAATCTGTATGCTGAGCAAATTATTCAAGAAGTTTGACTCTAGGAAGAAGAATAAAAATCAGAGACAAACTCATCAATAACCTGCATTATGCAGAAGACACAATCTTTCTTGCTGAAAGAGGTGAGGGCTTGAAGCGATTTATGTAGAAGACTATAGCCTTCAATATGGATTATATCTCAACATCAAGAAAACAAAAATCTCTGGACCAATAGGCAAAATCATAACAGATATAGAAAAGACTGAAGTTGTCAACAATTTCATCTTGCTGGATCCACAATCAACACCCATTGTAAAAGCGGTCAAGAAATCAAAAGACTCATTTCATTGAAGAAATCTGCTGTTCAAGACCTTTCCAAAGTGCTAATGAGCAAAGATGTCATTTTAAAGACTAACCTGATCCAAGACACAGACTTTTCAATTACTTGCTATGTATTTGAAAGACAATGAATAAGGATGACAGAAGAATCGATGCCTTCAAACTGTGGTATTGGAGAAGAGCACTGAACACCATGGACTGCCAAGAGAACAAACAGGTATGTGTAGGACAAGGTGCAACCGGAGTGCTCTTTAGAGGCAATGATGGCAAAGCTTTGTTTTACATACTCTGGGCCTGTTGTTAGGTGAGGCTATTCCTTGGAATCCAAGAACACCATACTTGGAAAGGTGGAGAGTCAAAAAAAGAGAAGGACTGATAAAGTAACTGCAGCAATGGGCTCAAGTATTCCAGAGATGATGAGAATGGCATGGCACAGGGCAGGGTTCAGATCTGTTGCTACTAGTGTCGCTGTGAGTCATATTCCTTCCACAGATATAGTCAATGTGATTCGTATGTAGCCCATCAGGTGAGGTCTATGTACAAAGTCGTCATTTGTGTCTTTTTAAAAAGGCATTTACAGATGAGATCTTAAGCAAAAAAAAAAGGTTCCAATCTCTCCACAACCTTATCAGTATTTGTTGTGTGCTGCCCTATTAAGTTCTGCTATTGTTGCTGGAAATGTCCCCTCCTTCTGATAACTTTCTATTTCAGGAATTTAAAATTTATAAACATTAAAAATTGGTGACCTATTAATCAGAACTGGCTTTGACAAGCACTGTGGCATTTGGACAAGAACAAACTGGGAGGAGGGTAGAGAGAATAGTGCAACAATGAATGAATGGAAACCCAAAATCTCTGTAAATGTTTATGAAAATTAATAAAATATAATTATAGAAAAAAATAAAAAATTGGTGACCTCATTTTTTTCATCTTAGTAAAATTTTTTTCAACAAAAAAAGGCATTTGCAATGAATAAATCATTGAAAATACAAAATTTGATCATTCTCTTTCCAGCCACATTTCTATCAACAAGCCCATTATCTTCTAACTACTATTCCTTTTTCACTGTTTCCAATTTTTGCATTCTAGTCACCAATTATCGTGAACATGTCTTGACAGCATGTTCAGTCAATTTCAGACTGCAAGATTTGGTAAAAATTTTCAATTTCTTCCTCTTTGGCTCTAGATGTAGGAGCATATTGTGAGTAATAGTTGTATTAATGGGCCTTCCTTGTATTCGTATGGATTATATCCTATCACTCATAACACTGTATTTCAGGATGGAGCTTGAAATTGACTTTTTTGCTATGAATGCAACACTATTCTTTTTCTGTTTTTCATTCCCAGCACAGTGTACATGAGTGTATCTGATTGAAAGTGGCTAAAGCTAGTCCATCTCATCTTACTAATGCCTAGAATGTAGATATTCATGCCTTCCATTTCCTTTTTCATAGTTTCTAGTTTCCCAACATTCAAGCAACATAAATTGCATGTTCCAATTATTAAACAATGTTTGGCTTTTTCACAATGGGTTTGTCATCAGAGTACAGGTTTTGGTGAATACCATCTCAAAATCTAAGCCAAATGGGAAAGGAGAAGAAGACCCATATCAATATCGTTGTCATCGGACACATATACTTGGGCAAGTCCAAAACGACTGGCCACCTGATCTACAAATGTGGTGGGACTGACAAGAAAACCAGTGAGAAATTCGAGAAGGAAGCTGTGGAGATGGGAAAGGGTTCCTTCAAATATGCCTGGGCTTGGATAAACGAAAAGCTGAACACAAGTGTGCCATCACCGCTGATATCTCCCTGTGGAAATTTGAGGCCAGCAAATACTATGTGACCATCATTGATGCCCCAGGACACAGAGACTTTATAAAAAACATGATTACAGGAACATCACAGGCTGATTGTGCTGTCCTGATTGTTGCTGCTGGTGTTGGTGAATGTGAGGCTGGTATCTCAAAGAACAGGCAGACCCTTCTGGCTTACACACTGGGTGTGAAGCAACTGATTGTTGGTGTTAACAAAATGGATTCCACTGAGCCACATTACAGCCAGTAGAGATATGAGGAAATTGTCAAGGAAGCCACCACCTACATCAAGAAAATTAGCTGCAATCCTGACACAGTAGCCTTTGTGCCAATTTCTGGTTAGAATAGTGACAACATGCTGGAGCCAAGGTTAACATGCCTTGGTTCAAGGGATGGAAAGTCACCCGGAACAATGGCAGTACCAGTAGAACCACACTGCTTGAAGCTTTGGATTGCATTCTGCCAACAACTTGTCCAACAGATAAGCCCCTGGGTCTGCCTCTCCAGGATGTCTACAAGATCGGTGGTATTGGTACTGTCCCTGTGGGCAGACTACAAACTGGTGTTCTCAAGCCAGGCATGGTGGTCACATTTGCCCCAGTCAATGTTACCACAGAAATCAAGTCTGTTGACATGCACCATGAAGCTTTGAGTAAAGCTCTGCCTGGTGACAATGTTGGCTTCAGTGTTAAGAACATCTCTGTGAAAATGTTTGATGTGGCAAGTGGCAACATGGCTGGTAACAGAAAAAATGACCCACCAATGGAAGCAGCTTGCTTCATTGCTCAGGTGATCATCTTAAAGCATGCTCGCCAAATCAGTGCTGGTTATGCACCTGTGCTGGATTGTCACACAGCTCACGTTGCTAGGAAGTTTGCTAAGATCAAAGAGAAGACTGAACTAAAATGGTGCAACCACTGTGGAAGGCAGTATGGCGCTTTCTCAAAATGAGGTATCATCTCACCCCAGTCAGAATAGCAAAATTTAACAGAACAGCAAGCAACAAATGCTGGCGAGGTTGTGGAGAAACTGGAACCCTTATTCACTGTTGGTGGGAGTGTAAAATGGTGCAACCACTGTGGAAGGTGGTATGGCGCTTTCTCAAAAAGTTGCAAATAGAGATACCCTTTGACCCAGCAATTCCACTACTGGGAATATACCCCAAAGAGACCATAACTGACATCCAAGCAGATATATGCACACCCAAGTTTATTGTGGCTTTGTTCACAATAGCAAGGAGTTGGAAACAACCTAACAACGAATGGATAGAGAAGCTGTGGTATATTCACACAATGGAATACCATGCTGCATTGAAAAACAAGGAACTCATGCAATATTATTCAAAATGGGTGACTCTGGAGGACATTATGCTGAGTGAAGTATCTCAGTCACAAAAGGACAAAAACTGTATGGTGCCACTGCTGTAAAACAGGACTGACCTTGGGGTTGGGGAGAGACTGAGAAAGATGGGTTCAATAATGTATACTTCATAGGAACAGATGAGGGAGAAAACTGTTTAAAAGGGATATGTGATTAGGTATTTTTGTCATGACAAGAGTCTAGACGAAGGCTACATGGTGGAGTGGACCTGGGGGAGGGTTTGTAAAACAATGAAAGAATTTTTCTTTTACTTTTCCAAGAGGGTAGTGTACTAGGGGGGAGGTTGGGAGAGGGAAAAAGTGCAACAATGAATGAATGGAAATCCAAAGTCTGTAAATTTTTACTGAAATTAATAAGAAATTTAAATTAAAAAAAAAGAAAAACAAGCAACTCATGCAATATTATTCAAAATAGGTGACCCTCGAGGACATTATGCTGAGTGAAATATCTCAGTCACAAAAGGACAAACAGTGCATAGCGCCACTGCTTTAGAATGGGACTGACATTAGGGTTAGGGTAAGAATGAGAAAAACTGGATGAATTATATATACTGCACTGAAACTGATGAGGGAGAGAACAGTTTAAAAGCAATATATTTTGGGGCATTATGATTATCATAAGCGTCCGGAATGAAGGTTGTAGAGTGGAATATACTCGGGGTGGTGGTGGGGGACTGCGGGGGGATTGTATACTAATGAAGGAATTTTTCTTTTACTTTTCAAAAAGAAGAGCAAACTTGGGGGGGTGCAGGGAGAAAAGTGCAACAATGAATGAATGGAAATTCAAAATCTCTGTAAATGTTCATTGAAATTAATAATAAAAAAATTTTTTTAAAAAAAAGGAGAAGACTTGATTGCTGTTCTGGTAAGAAGTGGGAAGATGGCCCCAATTCCTGAAGTCTAGTGATGCTGCCATTGTTGATATGGCTCCTGGCAAGACCATGTGTGTGCAGACCTTCCCCGATTACCCTCCTCTGGGTTGTTTTGCTGTTTTTGACTTGAGGCAGACTGTTGCTGTGGGTGTCATCAAGGCAGTAGGCAAGAAGGCCGCTGGAGTTGGCAAGGTCGCCAAGTCTCCTCAGAAAGCTCAGAAGGCTAAATGAATATTACCCATAACACCTGGCACCTCAGTCTTAGTCAGTGGTGGAAGAACAGTCTCAGAAATATTTGTCTCAATTGGCCATTTAAATTTAATAGTAAAAGACTGGTTAATGATAGCCATGTGTCGTAAAACCTTCAGAAGGAAAGGAATGTTTTGTGGACCGTTTGTTCTCTTTTTCGTGTGACACTTTTAAGTTATTACTTTTTAAAATCAGTACTTTTAAAATGGAAACAAACTGACCAAAAAATTTTCACAGAATTTTTAGACCCATTAAAACAAGTTTAATGAGAAAAAAAGAAAACAAAAAACAATGTTTGCCATTATTTTTCCTCATTTCAACTGACTTCCAGTCTGGGCTCTACCACTACTACTGTGACTATCAGCACTCCTCTACTGTTCATGGGGTTTTCAAAGGCCTGTTATTTAAATAGTGGATGGCCAAGCCTGCTTCCTAGTCTGTCTTAATCTGGATGATTTACTAACATCTGTCCATCATGGGTAATCCTGTGGCAACTGACACACCAGTGGCATAGCTTTCAGTATCATAGCAACCCACAAGTTATCTCATTACAGCAAATGGACAGACAAGTGCTTTACCAATTAGAACAATCTTCTCCCCAAATACAACATACCAATAGGCTGCACAGGAATCAAATTGACTACATCTGTAGAAGAAATCATTGGAGAAGCTCAATATCGGCAGTCAAAACCAGTCCTGGGGCGGACTGTGAGTCACACCATCAAACTGCTCATGTGCAAGTTCAAACTGAAGCCGAAAAAATTAAGTCCACAGGAACCAAGATATTCTTTTTAATCTATTCCATCTGCATTTCATCAAGATCATCTTAAGAATAGGTTTGAAGCAGTGCACACCAATGATCAAGGATATTACCCATGAAGAAAACAAAAGATCATTACAGAAGAGAAAGAAAAAACCGAAATGGATATCAAAAGAGACTCTAAAAATTGCACTAGAGCATTTAGAATCCAAAATGAAGGAGAAACATGCCAAAGTAAAAGAGCTGAGCAGAAAATGTCAAAGGGCAGCTCAAGAAGACAAGGCAAAGTATTATAATGAAATGTTCAGAAAGCTGGAATTGGAGAATAAATAGGGAAGAACTTGCCTTGCATTTCTCAAACTGAGAAAAGTGAAAAAAACAAATTTAAGCCTCAAGTTACAATACTGAAGGATGCTATGGGCAATACATTGAATGACTCAGAAAGCATTAAAAGAAGGAATCTACAGCCAGGACAGAATAAAACAGATGAATGGGACCTTCTAAGAATCAAATCCCTATGCACATCAAAAAAATTTCCCCAATAAAGTAAAAAGGAAAGTCACAGACTGGGAAAGGATATTTGATAATGACATATCTGCTAAGGGACTCACAACTAAAATTTATAGACTAGCTCCTCAAAAAGATAAAAGTAAACAAGCCAATCGCAATAATGGACACAGTATATGAACACACAGTTCACCAAAGAAGACATGCAGATGACAAAAAATGCATGAAGAAATGTTCAAAAGTCCCTAGCTCTCATAAACGTACAAATAAAAACAACTATGAGATATCATCTCACCCCAGTAACATTAGTAAAGTTCAAAAGAACAGCAAACAGCAAATGCTGCCAAGGTTGTGGAAAGATTGGAACCCTGACTGTTGCAGGGAGTATAAAATGGTGCAACCACTATGGAAGGCGGTTTGGTGCCCTCTCAAAAAGTTGGAAATAGAATTACCATTTGACCCAGCAATTCCAATACTAGGAATACATCGTAAAGAAACCAGAGCTGCTGATATATGCACACTCATGTTTATGACTGTGTTACTTCACAACAGCAAAGAGATGGAAGCAAACTCATCAACAAATGAATGGATAAAAAAAAACTATGGTATGTGCACACAATGTAATACAGCACTGAAAAATAAGGGACTTGGGAGCTCTGGTGGCCTACTGGCAAGAAGCTACACTGCAATCCCAGAGGCACACAGTTCGAATCCATCAGATGCTCTGCCGGGGAAGGAGGGACAATCTCCTCCTGTACCAGATAAGATCTGATTTGACGGTACACACACACACACAAAAATAAAATAAAAATTAAAAAAAAATAAGAAACTCATAAAATATTCCACAACTTGGATGATCCTGGAGGACATTATGCTAAGTGAAATATCTCAGTCACAAAAGGACAAATACTGCATAACACTACTGTTATAAAATAGGACTAACATGGGGGTTGTAAGGAAAACTAAGGAAAGAGGGGATAAATAATGAACACTGCATTGGAACAGATGAAGGAAAGAACTGTTTAAAAGGAATATGTGATTAGTCTTTATTTGTATGACAGCAGCCCAGAATAAGAGGTACAGAGCAAAGTGGTCTTGGGGATGGGTGGTGGAAGGAGGAAACTATGCAACAATGAATGAGTTGGTTTTTTTTTTCTTTCTAAAAAGTAAACTGGAGGTAGGGAGGAAAATGTGCAACAATAAATGAATGAAAATCTAACATTTCTATAAACTTCCATTAAAATCCCAATTTAAAAAAAAAAAGAAAGAAAACCATAAGAAGATGGGAGGAATATACAGAATCACTGTACCAAATAGAACTGACTGGCATTGAAAAATTTTAGGAAGTAACCATGAGCAGGAGCCAAGAGTAATGAAGGAGGAGGTGGAAGCTGCATTGAAGCTACTGGCAAAAATTAAGGTCCCTACGGGATTAATTAAATTAAGGAACCTACGGGATACCCACTGACTTGTATCAGTTAACAGATGCAGCCTTGGATACACTCATCAGTCTATGCCAGGAAATTTGGATGATAGCTGTCTAACCAATGGATTGAAAGAGGTCCATACTTGTTCCCATTCCCAAGATAGGTGAGTCAAGAGAATGTGTAAACTATTGAACAATATCATTAATATCACATTAAAGCGAAATACTGCTGAAGATCATTCAAAAATGCCACAAAAGTACATATAGATAGGGAGCTGCCAGAAGTTCAAGCAGGATTTAGAAGAAGCCATGGTAGCAGGAATATCATTGCTGATGTCAGGTGGATTCTGGCCAAAAGTAAAAAACACCAGAAGAATGTCTATTTGTGCTTTATTGTCTATGCAAAGGCATTTTACTGTGTGGATCATGACAAGGTGTGACTGACATTGAGAAGAATGGGAGTCCCAGAGCTCTTAATTGTGCTCATGAGAAATCTATACCTGGACCAGGAGGCTGTTGTAGGAACCAAACAAGGTAACACTGCATGTTTTAAAATTAGGAAGGGAGTGGGTCAGAGTTGTATTCTCTCTCCATACTTATTCAATCTGTATGCTAAGCAAATTATTCGAGAAGCCAGACTTTATGAGAGGAATGTGGCATCAAGATCAGAGGGAGACTCTTCAATAACCTTTGTTATGCAGATGATACAAACTTCCCTGCTGAGATGAGAAGAACCTGAAGTACTTGTTGCAGAAGAGCAATGAATGCAGCCTTCAGTATGGACTGCAAGAAAACAAATATTCTTACCACTGGACTGATAGGTAACATGAGATATGGAGAAAAGACTGAAATTGTCAACAACTTCATCTTATTTGGATCCACAATTAACACCCTTTGTACTAGCAGTCAGGAAATCAGGAGACGAATTGCACTGGGAAAATCTGCAGTCAGGGACCTCTCTGAATTATTAAGGGGTAATGATGTTTGTTTGAGGACTAAGGTGCATCTGATTCAAGCTATGGTCTTTCTGATCACTTGCTATGCTTCTCAGAGCTGGACAATGAATAAGGATGATAGAGGAACTGATTGATGCATTTGAGTTGTGGTTTTGGAGAAGAGTGTTAACTAGTCAATGGATGGCCAAAAAGACAAATATGTCTTAGAAACTGTGCAGCCAGACTGCTCTTTGGAGGCAAAGATGTTAAGGCTTCACCTCACATACTTCAGGAATGTTGCTAGGAGGTGCTCTTCCTTGGAAAGCCCGGAAAGGTGGAGAGTCGGTGAAGAAGAGGAAGACCCTTGACCAGGTGGATTAACACGGTGACCGCCAAAAGGGGCTCTAATGTGTCAGGGAGTGTGAGGATGACACAGGATAGGCCAGGGTTCAGATGTGTTGTTCACAGGGTCACTATGGATTGTACTTGAGGGCACCTAACAACAACAACATGATTCTTATTCAACAGCACTTAACAACAACATATAAAGGCTTGAATAAATCTGCCTTGCAACCAGGGTGCTCGCTCCTTTAAAGGCATGGGTGGTACAATTTCTTCTTACTTTGATGTCAGGTAGGGCCAAGCCCCTGGAAAACCATCAAGCTGGGAAAGATAGTGAAATATAAAAATAGGCTGAAGCATGGCAAAGATTGTGAAGACAGGGCAGGATGAGGCAAGGTTCAAACCTGTTGTTCATAGGGTCATTATGAGTTGTAGTTGGCTAAACAGTATCTAATAATAACATAAGAAGGCTTTCGGTTTTACCCAGTGAAGTCTAACTCTTCTCTACCATTCAAATCATCATACCTTGGTCTGAATAGCACCAGCCCTCTATCATCAAGCTCTCATTACTTCAGCCAAAAAGGTCTGCATTGCCCAGAGACAGGGGCTGAGGATGGGGCTTCCAGAAGGTCCTTGGAGTTTCTCTAGTACTCTGAGATTCTGACTAATACAAATACTGCAGAATGGAGGACAAAGAGAGGAAAGGGCATATGAATGGAATGAGGCTTTCAGGCAGGCAGGCTGTTGATGAACATAAGCAAGCAAAGCCATTTCTATCCATCATGGACTCAGCTGCAGTCACAGGTAGATACAAGAAGACATTATTGCTCCAGAACTTACCAAGCTCATCATGATTCCCAAGTGATCCTGATGATAAGAATCATCTGAACTGCTTCCTAAAACATAGATGCCAAGGTTCTCCCGAGCAGTAGGGACCAGTCACGAACTGAGGCAGGAATGGGGCAGGACCTGGGCGGCACCAGCCATTTTCACAATCAGTCCAAGTGATTCTTATGATCCAGGACACAAGTGAACGGTGGCCTTTCTGCTGCTCAGAGGTTAAATGAAAAACTTCACATCATGTCTCAGATGGCAGCAACTGAAATTCTGTTAGGTGGTGTCGAGTTGGTGTGACCATAGAGACTCCATGCCCAACAGAGCAAAGCACTGTCAGGGCATGTGCTGTTCCCACAGTTGTTGCTGCTTGCACCCACTGCCACTGCATTGTGCTAATCTACCTGAGGGTTGCCCATTTTCTCACTGGCCCTCTACTAAGTATGATGTCCTTTGCCAGGGACTGGACTCTCCTAATAACATGCCCAAAATACATTAGAAAACACCTGCCCATCCGCCCTGCTAAGGAACATTCAGGATGTACTCCTTCTGAGACAGATGGGGTTTGTTCTGGAAGTTCGGGTATATTAAAAATTCTTTGTCAACACCATAATTCAACAGCATCAAAGAGTCTTCCATCTTCCTTATTCATTCATTGTCCAGCCGTTACATACAAATGAATGATTAAGAACACCATGGCGTAGGTAATGTATACCTTTGTCAGTAATGTGACATTTTTACTTTTAAATATGTTAAGAAATCCTCTTCAGAGACCTGCCCAATGCAATAATTTTTTATTTCTTTTTTTGTTCTATTTAAATTTATTATTAATTTCAGTAAAAATTTAGAGAATTTGGATTTCCATTCACTCATTGTTGCACTTTTCCCCCTCCCAATCCTTCCCCCCTAGTACACTACCCTCTTGGAAAAGTAAAAGAAAAATTCTTTAATTGTTTTACAAACCCTCCCCCAGGTCCACTCCACCATGTAGCCTTCG